CCCCCCCCCACCCCATGTGGATGTGGATGTTGCTCTTTGTTGATCTTTGTAGCCAAAAAAGCTACCAAAGGCACTGAACTTCAATTTTTATGCACACAAGGCACCTGCCAAGATCGAAGAGTAGAAGACCCCTGCAAACTGAATTCCCAGTTTTCTGGGAATTCCTAGGAATTCCTAGGAATTCTCAAAAATTCCCAACTATGCAGATAACCTTTTATTTGAAAAGCTTGGAATTACTGGGAATTTCTGGGAAAGGAAGACTTCAGTTTTGTGAAGACTTGGAATTCCTAGGAATTCTCAGCAATACAAACTACCTATTATTTAAGAACGGTGGAATTCTTGGAAATTTCTGGGAATTGAATTTGAGGCAATTTAAATACCCTGAGGTCCACATAAATTCCAAGAAATTCTCAATACCTTGAATGTGAAGGTTTTAAGAAAAGGAGTAATTTAGAGTAATTAGAGGCTTAAAACTTTGGCTCAATAAAAGGTATGCTATACAAAATTTACCAAGAGATATTTATACATGTATATGTTTATAACTTAGAGATTATGAAATTTATTATTCAAACTAAGTTTTAGTAAATCTCTACATTAATATGGATTTTCTCACAAAGCAGCAGTCAATTATGTTAAATGCAAATTGCCAATTAATCCAATGTACTCATATCACAGATTTGCTTTCTAACCTTAAAGGACTCTTGGATTCCATGATCATAAAAGTTTTTATTGTGATGCAAAATGTATCATGTTCACAGATGTGCCAAAATCATTACACATTCATCAGCTGTTCCTTGGTACACAATTTCCACATGTGTAACAATAATTACATTGTTATCTAGACTTAAGGAACTTTGCTAGTTATGAAAATAAGTTGCTTTCCTAACCTACATTACTGGTTGCCTTTGTTAGAAAACCTTGGAACAGTCAAGCTCAGTTGCCTCAAACACTGTCAGAGACTTTTGTTCACATTATTTTTAGTAGAAATTTAATGCCTTAGACAAACAAATTCAACCCCTAGTTAGTCTTTCTTTTTTCATGATTGTTGTTGCTGTTTTTTTTTTTCAGTTTTTTGCTCTGTTTTCGTGACTGATTGCTGTAATTTGTTTTGCTGTTTTCATTCTTACCAAACATTTTTGTAAGAGTTCCAATACTTGTGGATCATCCACACACTTCGCAGACATTTGGCATGCAGACAAGACAGAGGTAGTAACTGTTCCCTTTGAGAAAAAAACACCTTTTAAATGACTTCTTCAATTTACTTTATTTGAAACTCTGATTGGAAAGTATTCTTAAAACAAGACTTGTTAGTAGTGAGAAGTACAAACCGAGTTTCCTTTCATAACTTAATTTCTTAAATGTCCCAATCAATGGAACTCCCAAAACATATTACTTCTTTTTATTTTTGGAGCAAAATACAAGTTCTTCTTTATATACAAATGAAAAGTGCAAGTCACACTTCAATAATAACAGCTCTAAAGTTTACTTGTTGTTCTCCTCTGTCTGTCAGCTATCAACAAAATTGTTTTATACTTCGGACAGTGCATAACCATTTGTGGACCAGAGTTCCAACGCACCTCTGTAATCGCATATAGTTGCTTCTGTCTCTTGTACAAATGTTTCTCCTTTATGAGACGCACTCTACTCGGTTGACACCACTGCTTTAAGTTCAATGGAAACGGCAGACTGAGGAATCGAGATGGCGGTATCGGAACGTGTTGCTGAACGCTTGTTACGGTCAAGCTTTGTAGATTTAGGTACTGGTACACTGGGATCATCTATGTATCTCTTACACTTCCGAATGTGGTATCCTTCTTTTATAAAAATGAGGGTAAAAGACGATTTGTAATCGCATTCAAAATTGTGATTGGCTTGTGTTATTTTGCCATGAACACAACTCAAGTGGGTTTTGAGTCTTTGTTTCCTCGACAAATTTCAGCCACAAATTGTGCATTTGTAATACGATCGATTCTTGTCGATTATTTCTACATAGAGTGAGCTCATATCATTATTTATATCACCGTCAGACCATGGCTCCAAGATATCCATCGTCCACAATCAGAGAACTGTTCGTAGAAGTCAGAATAAAGTTGTGCGCTTGTCTTGACACTACAATCGGGCAAGTCAGCGGATTCACTTTGCTAGCCAATGACAAGTCCTAAGAGATCCACGTGATCATGCCCGTGATGGGAAACAAAGAAGACTCCATTTGGCGGTCGTCTTTGAGTGTACTTTTCATCGGTTGATCGCACGTGTGTTAAGTTATTTCTTTTCTAAACTGTTTTGCCTAATATAACATTTCTAAAGATAGGTTTTATTATGGTTCAATGGGAAAACGAGAACAGCGTGAGTGTTGTAAATGAAAAGAAAGTCGTTAGCGCCGTGGAGTTAAAAGAAGGGACAACAGTTGTCACATTGATTGGTACAAACAAGGGTCGAGGGGCCATTTATAAAGCTACAATTTTGAAAGTTTGCGGTGAGTAAAAATTGCGATATTTGTTACGTGATCAAAATCTTATCAAAGAATAGATGTAACGGCTTGAATTAAGTTTACATAACGCTCGGCGCAACTGAAACTAGAATAATTCGGAGAGTCGAATCGGTCTCTTGCATGCCGCAGTTTCTTAAGCTCATGCTTTACAATGAAATAAATCTATCAGTAAGGTTTCAAGAAACAAACCTTATTACATGAAAAAACCTCCCTTTGGTAAAAACAAAATAATGTATTCAGCCTTTTTTTGGTAAAATCTATGAGAGAGATGTACTAACTCCAATGTAAAAGTCATTCAGTATAACAGAAATTTCCCAATCCCACTGCTCTTTGTTAAATCGAGATTCCAATAAATGCCCTTTTCCTTATGGCTATCTAAGGCCTTGTCTGAGCTTTATATATATATATATATAGCTCTTTGGCATACAAAGCTTTGCTTTCATGTCCAAATTGAGCACTCTACTAGGATGAGTCATTGCTGCTAGCATTATGCACGCTCACTAGTTTTTCTAGTTTGAGCACTCTGGCATGGCTTAGGTGATCCCACATGTGTGAGATCACTTGGGGTGGCTATATTGCCTTACCTCCATCCTAGCATCAGCATTGCACTGATGAGGCCCAGAAGGCCGAAACAGTACTGTCTGCATTTAGTTATATATATATATATAATATATATATATATATTTATATATATAATATATATATAATTTTATATACATTTTATATTCACAAAACAGGCTTGTCGGGAAATGTAGTTGCGTCCTTTTTTCCTCTCATAATATTTATTCTGCTCTGCTTCAACGTATTGAGCACTGTTCCACACGAAAATCGACTTGCAGACTTCCTATATATATATATATATATATACTTTTAGGTACAAAATAAATAAAATAAAATAATAAAGAGTAAAACATGAAAGTGCTACTTGACAGCTTACATTTGAATGTTCACACACGAGTTTTATCCAAATAAGTTACAACCATATAAAATCAAGTCAAAGCCTGTCTCTGGGCACAAAAGGGTTAAATACCATTTGTATCATCATTTGAAATTAAATGATTCATTTTAAGACTATTTTCAGACAGACAGTATTTATTGCAATAAATATAATTTAAGGTATTGTATTTTATGGAAAAGAATCAACAGGTTGTAATCACAATTTGTGTCAAACCAAATTTAGTGATTGATTAGGACTATTTTATATGAATATCTGTAATTGAGGATTAATTTGTATGAAGTTTTCAAGAAAAGAAGAATAAATCAAATTCCACTCTAATGTTACTACATGTTGATGTTAATATGCAATCAAAAATATTTTACATGTAAACTTTAATTAAGCTTATAATTAAATTTCATCGCATACTTGAATTTTAGTTGAGATTTTTTTATTTTTGATATTTATTTTATATTAGTAGCCTCAAATTTTTGCCTAAAATTCCCAGTAATTCTTAAACATTTCTAGAGAATTCCTGAAAATTCCTAGAAATTCCTAAGAATTTTTTAGATTTACAGCTTTTCAGGGAAAGTCATTAGTGCTCTGAGTTGGAATTCCTTGGAATTCCCTAGGAATTCCCTAGGAATTCAAAGTCCAGTTGGCTATGAACTTGGAATTTCTGGGAATTTCTAGGTTTTTAGAACCAGAGTTGTTATAGTTGGGAATTCCTAGGAATTCCCAGTCCAAATTTACCGTGAAAATAGACACTCAGGGATTAAAGTGTTTATAACTGTACACATTTTATATGCTCCTTGCATTTTTTGGCAACAATAGTCAAGGTTGTTAGGAAATCACACAAACAAATGAACAGAAGACAGTAAAATCAGGGAAACTGTAAACTTTACCATATGATAGAAGAAATATCACAGAATACTTAAAAAGGGAAACTTGTATTGTGCTAGCTAATTTCCTCTATTGCCCTTCATATTGTTGATCAAATAAAATTTAATCAGGTGTAGGGTTTGCCTGCAATGTGTCAAATTACCAGTGTGGACTTGATTCTTCTCAGATGTCAGCTGGTAAAAGATAAATACCATAAAGAATAGATGTTCATATGAAAAAGTACACATCATCAAAAAATTACACTGAAGTAGTGGTGTGGTTGATTTGTAATACTTAAAATGACAGAAGCAAGAAAAACACATTGAGCTTAAGTCAATTAGATTTTGGATTTTACATTCAAACCGGGTGAAATTTAATTAATTCATATCATGCTTCATTATGGTTTGCTTGCATGGAAAGGTAATTGTTATTATTAAGTTTCATAGATGTTTTGATTGCCATCCAAATTAACATTCATAACAAAGTTTCATTTAACATAGAATGTTTCAAGAACTTTTTTCCTTTCTCCTCAATACCATTTACTATTTTTGGAGCACAATTAACCCTTTAACTCCCAAGATCTCATTGATAATTCTCCTTACTGTTTGCCATATAGTTCTGGTGATGTTAGTTTTGAGAATTTAGTATTGGATCAACTAATAACCCCCTAATTAATATTTTTCTTTATTCTTATCACTTATCTGCTTGATTGATTATATTGTAGGGAGAAATTCTGTCTTGGTCACACATGGGAGTAAAAGGGTTAAAAGAATCAGGTTATTATAAAAATTACAACTTTTCATTCAGGTTATTATTTGAATTTGTGAGTAACATTTGATGTTTCCACATGTAACAGGATGATCAAGCTGAAGATAGCCTCAAGTGAACTCCATTGTAACAAGTAAGTGACAAATTTGGAAACTTGAGCACTTGGTAACTACACCTTGGTTTGCAATTCTGATGATTCAAAAGCTTGCTGAGGTAATTGAAATGTTATTACCCATGCAGGAACCTTTTACATAACCTGTACAGTCATGTTATAAGAAAACTTTAGAAAAATGCATTTGTGTTGGTAGAAGTATTGTAAATACAGTACCACCTAGTAACAAAAAATAATGATTTCCTGAAACATGAAGGTTTGGGAGAAGTTATGGTGGTAATTGACCCTTTTTTTGCTAGGATGCATAGGGTCTCATGATCATAATGTGTATCTTTTAGCTTTCAAACTTTCAACTTTGTATTAATTGTAACTGTTTACCATATCTATTTCTCTGTACCTTAAGCACCCAAAAGTTGAGGTAGGTGAGGCAATAACCTGACTTCCTTTGTTTGGAATTGTGTGATTATATAATTTTGCTGTGTAAGTTACCACATTGTAACATGTAATATTATTATTTAGATTGCATTAAATACTCTTGCTCAAGCTGCCATAAATGCATGGTGTTTCTTACCAATACTCATACTCAAACTAAACATTGATATTAGGAATTGATCACAAGATATGTGAGCTTTAAAAGGTGGGAATCTGGAAAAGCAAGGAACCCCCTTTAATTAGACTGAAATTAATGGAAGCCCTCCTATTTTAATTCATGTTTTTACTTAGACCTGCCTCCTCACCTGTAATGTTTAGGGCACATAGATTAAGAGAAAATTTTTTTGTATTTTGACACATGAAAGTTAAATTCATTGGTGTCCACATAATGCACAAAGCAACAATACAAATGCCTTAGTTTTAACCCTTTGACTCCCAAGATCTCATTAGTTATTCTCCTTACTGTCTGCCATATAGTTCTTCTGATGTTAGTTTGGAGAATTTGGTATTGGATCAACTCACAATCCCCTAAATAAGATTTTTCTTTACTCATCACTTGTCTGCTTGATATTGTCTTGATATTGTCTTGATATTGTAAGGAGAAATTCTGTCTTGATCACTCATGGGAGTTAAAGGGTTAAAGGTTAAAAAATTAAAATAAGAGAGTTGTGCAGACTATATCTTACTTTTTATACTCCTCTGGATATTTATCCAAATACCCGATAACATAGTCACTATCAGTCTCTTTCACTCTCACTTTCCACTAAGCTTGTGGAAAGATGATAACCTCAGTATTTATTTAAATGAAGAAAGTAAAGCCTGCCTTCTTACCACAGGTAGTTCTTTTGGGTATTATCAGCACAAACCTGGTCTAATTTGTTCATAAAGGTGATTGTTCCAGGTAGACTAACCTTAAAAATTAGTTGTGAAAATGTCTTGAAGTTATCATATGAATGTTTGACTCAATTTTACCTCACTAACCAACATGTAAACTGAATAAATAGAAATTTAAAATTTACTTGTTCTCCTTTTGAGGTGTGCATCAAAATTTCAAAGTCATCACAGGCGTAAACTACAAGTTTAGAGGAAATCTAGATGTGTTTTCAACTTATAAAACCAGGTTTATGACTACTTCAAATGACTTTCCTACGTGCCTTACAGCTACAGGCAGGTGTTGTAAAAAAGTTTACACTTGCAGCAAAGTGTTTATTGGTGAAACTTGGAGATCAATGTGAGATAGGATAAAAGAACACGACAGAGACATGGTTTGCTCATATTCGGACTTATGCAGTTTTTGAGCATGCTAACAGAACAGGGCATATTCCTATTTGGAGCAAGGTTAAGTTTAATGATTGTGACCCCCACTGGTACACACATAGGATCAAAGAGGCTATCCATATAAGACTTCATCCCAACAACACCAATAAGGATAGCAGAATTGAAATTCCCAAAGCTTGGATACTCACGATCAAACAACACAACAGCCGATTTATGAGGACCTACGATGGAACACCATCTAACAACCAGAATAATAGCGTACCAAAATGCTACAAACAGTGACAAGGAAACAATCGACCTCATTGCCTGATGAAGATGAGCAGTATTGCAGTCCAAACGTTGCGGTAAACATCAAAAGTGACTCTATTGTGAGACAAATGAAAAAAGTTCATTTCTTATCTTACACCACAAAGAACAATAAACATATTTTATTACAACTTTGCTTAGCTTTTTCATCAGTATACATTTCTTTATCTAAGAATCTTGTTTATCCAGCCTATGCTGAATTCTAATTTTCAACCAAATTTTCTTTTCTTTTGAATATTCTTAGATCTCCAAGTATCAGTTAATATTCATGTAATTAAAATAATTACACAAAATCTTGCAGATGTATGGCATATTATTTCATCCTCTGATCCTTCTAACTTTTTATCATGTGTAGGGATTGGTATTGACTATAAAATTAAAGTCAAATTAAAGTTTTGTGCACAGCCTATGCATCAAATTTATATA